ATCTATCTGTCTGTCTATCTATCTGTCTATCTATCTATCTATCCATCCATCCATCCATCCATCCATCCATCCATCCATCCATCTATCTATCATCTATCTATCTATGAATATAGACTCGAAGGTCCTCAGCAGACCAAGGGAGAAGCAGAGCTGGGAACAACGCGGGCCCTGACCCCTGTCACGAAGCAGTCTCTGCAGTGTCGGTCACCCTTCCCCACCAGGATGCCACGTGCATCCCGAGCTGTTGCGCTACCCTAGGGGGCGCGCGTCCCATTCCGGGCTCGCAGAGATGCGCGTTCACTCTGCGGGTTTCTGGCGGGCGGCCGTCAGACACTGGTGGAGGGACATCTTTGTCTAACGGGGAAAGGCGAGGGGCAGCCAGGAAGAGCCGTCTTCCTGTTCCCGTGTCTTCCTCCCTTTGGGGTACAGGAAGCACTGGGGGTGGGGACAAGACCCCACGGACCCCGGCTCCGGACGTGACCTGCCTGTCTCCCCACAGGTGGGTGCATCCTTGTTTGCCAGCAACATCGGGAGTGGACATTTCGTCGGCTTGGCCGGGTCAGGCGCTGCTACGGGCATTTCTGTAGCCGCTTATGAGTTTTGTGTAAGTGTTTTCCACGTGCGGACAGCTCACCTCTACCCGGGAGGTAGGTCCTGGGGACAGTTGTGTGAGTGCCCTGTCCTTTCAGAATTAGAGTGGCACTTTATGAAAAACAAACAGGAAGCATCAAGGCACCGCTGGTCAGCAAAAACCAGTTCAATCCGGCACGTCGTCCCTTCCCGGGTCTGCTGGATGGGGCCAGGACCCCGAGAAACAGATGTGTGAGGAAGGGGGCTCAGAGTCACCTCAGCGGGTGCAGAAGACAGGCATCCCGAGACCGGAGGCCAGCACCTCGCAGGCCTTCGCTCCTGTACCCCTGAGTGTCAGATGCCAACTGGCCGTCACACAATCCAGGTGGCTCAGAGGTTCTTGACCCCGCAGATACCCAAGAGGCAGGACGTGCTGTCCTGCGCAGGGGGCCCTTCGGGACTGATCTGCAGAGCGGGAAGGAAAGCACTTATTCAAGGCACCTTCTTCTCCGTGACAAAGCACATACACCACGCCACGGCCCTACGTCCGTGATGCACGCCATTCTACTGTGGGAGGCCCTTCCAGACGGGGTTCCCGTCCTGGTCGCTACGCTTGGCGGTTGGGTGACCCCGGGCGAGCTGCTCAACCTCTCCGAGCCTCGCTCATGTCTAAAACGAGGCCGATCGCAGCGCCCGCCATGTCGGGTCGTGTGGGGTACAGGAGCGAAGGCCTGCGAGGTGCGGGGCGTACCCCCCTGCCCGGCGCGCCCCTGCCGGCCCCACCCACAGGCGAGAACAACGCGTCCCAGAGACCCGCGCAAACGCCCCAGCGTCCCCGGCTGCTCAGCAGCGTGGCCTGCCCGACCTTGCGGCCTGGGCTTGGCCACTGCCCGAGGAGGGGCGGGACCCTGCACGGAACGAGGGGGACGCGGGGTTCGGGACATGGTGAGCGTCCATGTCCACTCGTCCCCATGTCATCCCCTTCTCTCATTTATCTGACCCCGCCCCGCGTTCTCCCGCAGGGCCTGTTCTCCGTCCTCATGCTGTCCTGGGTCTTCCTGCCGGTCTACATCGCTGGCCAGGTGAGTCCGGGTCAACCCCGCCTTCCTTCCCTCCACGTGGACATCCGCCTGACGGTCCCTAAGGGGTCCCAGACTGGAGCGGGACAACGGCCGTGTGAGACACTTAGGAGTTTGTCCTTAGCGGTCCCCACCTCCCGCAGGGCCTGTTCTCCGTCCTCATGCTGTCCTGGGTCTTCCTGCCGGTCTACATCGCTGGCCAGGTGAGTCCGGGTCAACCCCGCCTTCCTTCCCTCCACGTGGACATCCGCCTGACGGTCCCTAAGGGGTCCCAGACTGGAGCGGGACAACGGCCGTGTGAGACACTTAGGAGTTTGTCCTTAGCGGTCCCCACCTCGTAGTGACTGTCAGAGACGCACACGGGGCTTCCAGAGGCTGACAGAGACGCGGGCGGGCGCAAAAGCATCTCTTTAAAATGCCAAAGCACAAACATGGAACTCGCAGTTCATCCTAAATGTCAAAGCTGTAACCTGTTACTGCTTTTTACACACACACACACACACACACATATATATTTATTATAGATTTTTCATGCACAGGAAGGAGAAACATCTCCGAACTGGGTATACAATTCAGTGATTTTTCTCCTTCCTGTGCATGCAAATCTGTAATAATCCAGCTATTTCTGGACCACGTGCAATACCACAATTTTTGTTAGCGCATAAAGCTGCTTTAGACTTTTTGAAAAAGTCGTTTTAAAAATCATTTCCGATCTTATCGACAGCTTTCTGTCACTCATACCGTCTAGACTTAATTCTGTTCTGCTCCGAGGTCAGAAAGATATTCTCCTGCTACCTTCTAGAATGTTTACGTCGATTATCCACCTAGAATGGGTTTTCGTCAACCTTCTTTTGAGAACAGAATGATGCTAATCCCACCTCCCCCAAGAAAGTTACAGGCCGGTTTTACTGATGAACAGGGACAGTACGCTCTCCTCCCGGTCCCCGCTGCCACCCACGATGCTCCCCGTCACTCACGCGTGTGTTCACGCACCGAAGAGGCATTGTTTGGCCGAATGCCAGCGCCTCGCAGCCCCTCACCCTCCAGGGGTGCTGCCATGCGTCCCCTCGTCCCCTCTTGCTGCAAACGCTGCCTCGCCCTGGTGACAACCCCCAGAACGCCCTTCTCTGGGCAGCCGGAGCTTCTCCGAGGCTGTTTGCCGTGGCCGCTGTTTTGCATTTGCTCGTGTGATTATTAACTTGACTTCTCTCCCACCGTTTCCTGCTGGCACTCACGGGCACCCACCGTCACCCCTCCCCGCCGTGTCTGTCTGTCTGTCTCAGCCTCGCTTGCTGGCACATTGCCTGCTCGGCTCCTTTACGGCCAGCAGCTGGGCTCCGCCCCCGCCTGGCAGCTGGCTGCAGGCCCCCAGTCTGATTTCCAGAGGCCGGCGCTGCTACCCTCATGCCTCGCCCCCACCTTCCTTCGCTCACTGGGGACTGTCCGCGTCCTGCGTGCGGTGGCTGCGGTGGCTGTGCTGCCTCCTGTCCAAACGCCGGTCTGTCGGTGACAAAGGCCACCTGCGGGTGGGAGCCCAGCTCCCAAACAGGCCAGTGGGACCACTATTGCAGGTGGGGCAGGAGCCCACCTGACTGAGGGCCACCCGCCCCGCACGCCCTCCCAAACTGGCCTCACGCCGTCGCCTGGAGTGTGTCCATGCCACACGGTTTGGTCGAGTCCCTCCGTGGGACAGTCCCCGATGGAGTGTCAGGGTGCAGAGCGGCTTCTGCAAACCACAGCGGAGCGTCCCCTGCCGCAGAGCCGGGGGGCGGAGAACAGGCAGGGAGCAGCTTTGTTCTTGTTTCTGTTTTAAAACGTCCATTGATTTCTCTAGTTCTTTTTTTTTTTTTTTAACCAATTTCTATTATGGAAAAACTTCCAAACACACATCCAAGCCAAAGCAGTCTTACAGGGACGCCCTCATGGCCTCGAGGGCCTGGACCCTCCCAATACCGCCTGGCAAGTCCTGTAACGAGTCTCGCCAGCTGGTCCACTGACCCCTCCCAGCTCCTTCCGCCTTCGCAGTCTGACCTGGGGATGGAGAGTCCGCCATTCACTGCGGCCAGCACCCGCCCTCTGCCGCCCGGGCCAGCCTAGCGGCGGCAGCCTGAAGGAAGGGCTGCAGACGGCTCTGCCAATGCCAACATCGCCCGCTCCTTCCCCCAGCCCAGGCCCGCATGGGGCAGTCGCTGGCTCGAGTCCCACGGTCTAGATATGGCATCGTCTCGAGCCCAAGCCCGGGGGTACCGTGGGGGTGAAGACAAAGGTCGTACCAACCCCCAAGAAAAGTGCCACCCAAGTAACAGTCCTCGGTGACATGGCCCAGTCCCCGGGGTGCCCCATATGGTGACGGCACCTGGCATTGGACCGCCCACCCAGAGCCATGGGGACCGGCCATGCTCAGTGCTCCCCTGGTGAGGGGCATCCCTGGAGCCAACTCAGCTCGCTGTGGAAGCCCCCACTTTGCGTGGGGATCGGGCTAAGGGTCCACAGCAGCGCGATTGCCCCGAGCGCCGAGACGCGCTTAGGTGCCGGGTGGGCGGGTGAGGCGGGGCCATGAGGTGGGTGTTTCCTCCCCCGGAGCGTGTTCCTCCTTCTCTCTGAGTCTCTCCTGGGAATCCGAGAAGACCACCCTGCGCATGAGTTCGGGGGGAGGAGAGCGGGGAAGGGCTGGTCCCCGAGGTCGGGGTGGTGAAGCTCCGCCCCGGCCCCAGGTCACCACGATGCCGGAATACCTGCGGAAGCGCTTCGGCGGCAGCCGGATCTCCGTCACACTGGCCGTGCTCTACCTGCTCATCTACATCTTCACCAAGATCTCGGTAAGGCGGCCAGCGGCCCGGCCAGCGGCTGCGGCTGCGGCTCAGGGATGTGAGCCAGCCCGCTGCTGGGGCCTCCGCTCTCGAGGGAGGTGAGGGGTGGTGCGGGTCGCTGCCTGGGACCCCCGGGAGCCCTTCGGTGGCACCACGGTCATCCTCCTGAGACAGGCAGTGGCCAGCTGTTCATCACAGGCCCCGAGGCCAGAGAAGCCTTTTGAGGGCAGGCTCCTGGGAGGTGGCCGACTGTCACTGGCTGGCGGAGGGCTTGTCCCGTGTGGGGGTGATGAGGGGCAGAAGGATTCCATCCAGTCCAAATAGCACTTGGCTCTACGCCAGGGGAAGTCACCCCTCAGGACGTGCTCAGAGGACGCAAAAGGGCATTCCAGAAAGATGGACAGGACACATGAAAGCGCGGAGTGTGGATGAACGAGACTTGTTAGGGAAACGGGCTGGGGACAGGCAGTGAGGGAGGGGAGCGAGGCCATGACGGGCCCGGCCCATGACCGTGCCTCATTCGTTGGGACGTCCTGGGGGCGATGGAATGCCACCGAAGCCATTTAATGGGAGGACAGCCCCGGGGCCAGGAGGCGTTCGACAGAGGTGTGGTGAGCAGGACGGACTGCGGGGAGTCCGCTGAGGTGGCTGCTGTGTGCCCGGGGAAGGAGGTCTCAAACGTAATGGCCCACGGGGCTGCAGTTTGAGACCCCACGTCTGAGAGGAGATGGCTGAGGAAAGGACAATATGTGACTCTTCCGTGTTTGCCAGAAGCTAGGCTGGGGCCTGACTCTAGCCTGGGGAAACCGTGCCGCATGTGTCCATTTATTCACCCATCCATCCATCATCCATCACCCACCCACCCGTTCGCCCACCCACCTGCTGACTTCACGTTTATTCAGGTGGACATGTATGCAGGTGCTGTCTTCATTCAGCAGTCTTTGAACCTGAATATGTACCTGGCCACGGTTGGGCTATTGGCCATCACAGCCGTGTACACGGTCGCAGGTATGACTGAATAAGGGGTGACTCTGGGGGAGGCGGTGGGCAGGGGCTGAGGGCCACCCCACGTCTTCCTGGCCGCCCTTCTGGTGCTCCAGGGTGTTAAGGTCATTCACCTATTAAACCTCACGCCCTCGGCCCAGATAACGATTCCTCTTGGCTGCTGTTCTGAGGCCGAGGGCTGCCCAGTTAGACGCAGGACTTACAAACGCACCACGGTGCGTCAAGCCGTTTTCCATT